CTTTTGTTTTGTCTCTGTCTCTTAGATGAAGTTACTTCTTTACATTTCCATTTATTTTTCTGTGTATTATTTTGTATTTACTGTGATATCTACTTGTGTTTCTTTAAGTTTTCTTTTTTTTGCTTTTTTTTAGTTATGGTAGTGATAAGGAAAGGAATGTACCTAGGGGAAAATGAGAAACAAACAAACTATAACAACAAAACACAGCTTATTCTACTCCTGTTGAAATAAACAAGGGCATATGTCACTGGGAGTAAGATAAGAGAAAACATTGGCTCAGCTGCAACAAAGCTGTGCGTTTTTCATGGCAGTTTCCAACAATCTTGCAAAATAGAGATGATCTTGTACAACTTCCCTCTTTTACTTCTGTGTTAAGCATGTGTGAACTATATAACCATTTATCTTATGCTACTTGACAAAGTTGCCCCTTTTTTTTAATGGCACGGTTGTTTTTTATGACCCAGGCTGAGCCTAGCTCTGTTGATGAGTTATATTTGCAGACCTTATCCAAGATTCTGAACCTGTCACCTCAGAAGGTATTAATGTTAGAAAACCAAACTTGAAGTATTGTTTGTTAGCAGAAGACCAGCTCAGTAAAGAAATTTAACTGTAAGAGTTAGTAAGTCATTTGATCTCATGAAGCTTTGCAGTCAGGTGGCAGATCTTCCTTGTGGATGCAGATGGAGATTTGGGACTGTAACTTTCAAAGAAGTCAGTAACCTTTAGAGGATAAACTTTCATTAATATCCACCAAGTAACTTTATTGAATGAACTTTTGTTTTATTTAGGGGTGTTTGTATGTATATATAGATGTATATATACATGTATATGTGTATCTGGCATCATTTGTTCTTTTAATCTTGTTTTCCAGAAAAAAAAAAAGGTTTTCTAATTGAAAATATTCCATTTTGCTTTTCTTAAAGCTTTCTGGATTGTACAACTGGTAATTCACAGTGACATCTTCCAACATCTTAGTGTGTTTGTGTTGTTTTAACAACAATCAAGAAACATGCATTTCACTTGTCATTTGTTTCTGAAATGTTGTACATATCTGACAACTGTGTGTGTTAAACTGTTCTCTCTCATCTACATTTTCCTGTTCAGAAAAGTACTTTTTTCCTATATAGAATGTGTATTGCTGTGAAATATGTATTTAGGTTTATCCTTATTGTTCTGTCTTGCTTTGATGCTTTTTGTGTTGTCAGATAGAAGCTGGTTATGGTTTGTTTTTTCTGTACAGTTTGCCACAGATTGCATGATGGTTTACCCAACGTAGGATCAGTGTAGAGATGGTAGTTTTAGTGAGCGATGAATAGATAAATATAAAAATAATTGGGTTCTTTAAGATGTCTAATGAACAAGAAAAATGATCATTTGTAAATAAGCACTTCAAGGATTTCTCAAGAATCCTTGTGGATTTTGTGGTTAAAGAAATGGATATCTAGCTGTGAGTGAAGGGTGCAGTTCCTATCATTATGCAGCTTCCTATCGTAGAGCAACTCACCCCAACTGAGAGTAGGTCTTGAATTTGCCATGCCTTGCAGATGTAAGGCCTGGAACTTGATAAATTCAGGAAAGGCTAGGAACACTTAACTCAGTTCTCCTTCAAGCCTCCTTCACCATTCCCTACTTTGCTTTCAGAGGCAAGAGTCTGGTTGCTAGAGGTAAAAGGGTACAAACTTGTTTCGGTGACTTAATGAAGGCGTGCAAACTGCATCGTATTGTCTATGTAAAATTAAAGCATGGGACTGAGCTTGAAAAAAGATGACATTTGGATAGGAATACGTGACTTCAGTAATACTGTTTCTGTTTGCAGTTAAATGCCTCAAGAACACACCAGCTTTCTTTGCGGAGAGGCTGAGGAATGCTATGAAGGTAAGAGCCTATGACAAGATGTATAAACATAGCAAGTTTTTTTAAATGATTATACTGTTCATTGGAATGCATACTTCAACCACCTTGGAAAGAATAGTAATTAAAAGATAACTATTGAGCTGGAGGTATGAATTTTTTCAATGAACACAAGGCTTAAGATTTAGTATTATGAAAGGCTGGAAAAACCTACTTTACTTGATCCACTTAGCCAAATGTATATAAGCATGCCACGAATTTCTTCTTTTATTATGGAGATTTCTTCCCTTCATAAAGCAACTTATGTGCTTAGGACTTGATTGGTTTAAGTAAGGAGGGCTAGCTGAAGTGCACTACCAGTACACTTGATTTATTAATGTATAAACTAAAATCCAACTAAGCTCATTGATGGCAGTGAGGTTTCGCTAGTAAAGTGCTGGCATTTTATGAGCTGGTTATCTCTTTTGATTCATGCCAAATCATCCACAATTTCCACACATTATTAATGTATGCCATTGTTGTTTATTTCAGGGAGCAGGAACAAAAGACAGAACTCTGATTCGAATCATGGTGTCGCGCAGTGAGGTCGACCTTCTGGACATACGTGCAGAATACAAGCGGATGTACGGCAAATCCCTCTATGCAGACATCACTGTAAGTCTTAGAGCTTTAGTTTGCCCATTTCATTTGTCTGAGGATGCCTATGGGGGCTTAGGAAGCTTCATTCACCATGTAATGAAGGTGCCAAATCTTAAGTCCCTACTTCTACTGTTTTTTTTTGACATGGGGATGCAGCTTAGTGGCGCTCACAAGGAAACCTAGGAAGATAGTGAAGGATCCTGTGTGCACCAGCAAGTCTTGGCTATTCTGTAAGCAGCTATATAGTCTTTTTGGCCATAAGCCACCAAAGTTCAACTAGCAGAAGCTTTTTACAAATCAGTAACTCTCAGATGAAGATGGCACTTGTCACAATATTACATGAAATTTTACACATCAGGAATAGGAACAGATAATTCCCATTTACTTGGCTGAAGTTGATCATTTCGCTAAGTGTGGGCGTAGGTGTAAACCCTGCCTCTTCTGTAGAGGCAGTAACTGAAAGTAGAGTTCAAAACAGTTTTAAAGTAACTCCTTAATTCTTCTGTCATTGTCTGTAAGCACGCAGCAGTTCTTTCAGCACGTGCATTAAGTAAAATGCTTCATATTTTGCAGATTGTATTTTGTGTAGGGTTTATTCTGAAGCATCTCTTTCTCACTACAAATTTTTATCCAGAAAAAGGTTTTCAGGGATAATACACTAGCTGAAACTGCCTTGTGGAAAGGGTTGACAAACCTCATCAACCAAGTGTAGTTAATGAGCAGCTCCCAGGAAATCCTTTTTAGTCGTAAAAACACCAGGTGACATTTATCTAGCAGAGCTAGCTGAATGGTGATCATATCATCATAGAATGGCCTGGGTTGAAAAGGACCACAATGCTCATTTGGTTTCAATCCCCTGCAATGTGCAGGGTTGCCAACCAGCAGACCAGGCTGCCCAGAGCCACGTCCAGCCTGGTGCTGAATGCCTCCAGGGATGGGGCATCCACAGCCTGCTTGGGCAACCTGTTCCAGTGCCTCACCACCCTCTGAGTGGAAAAACTTCCTCCTGATATCTAACCTAACCCTCCCCTGGCTCAGCTTAGAACGATTTCCTTGTGTCCTTTCACTATCCACCCTTGTAAACAGGTGTTCTCCTCCTGTTTGCTGCTGTTCATTAGGTCTTTTCCACACTTTCCCATGTACATTCATTGTGGTTTTTGCTGCCTCCAAATCAAACAGGTGTTATTTGACTGAGGTAGGAGATGGATTTCTTTATTCCAGGGCATCACTTTGAACATTCAAACATAACAAAGAGTAAACTTTCCCTTGCTGGTTCTTGGAAAAACCATGCTGAGTCCAGGGAAAAAGGTCTTCAGCAATTTATGTTGCTATTTCTGTCTTTTGGCCAACAGATAAGAAACTACAACTTCTCACTGAAGGTTTTTGCAGAACTTTTCCAGAATGTGCAATTGACCCTGTATACGAAATTCAGTTACCTAAAGAAATATATTCCCTTACTGATGTTTTCCATTCCATAAAGGAAAGAGCATATTTCACTGTTTCATTGTTCTTTCTAATAAGAAGTGAACACCTGCTTTCTTTCTTTCAGCCCTGCCTTCATTTCCTTTAGTTATTAGCTTGGCATTTAAGACACTTAAACTTAATTTTCTTTCTTCCTTCCCCTTCCAACACCCACGTCCCCAAAAAGCAGGATGCAAGCCTTCAACTTTACTTTTTCTGGGTTTATTTCCAGGGGGATACTTCAGGAGACTACCGGAAAATCCTACTCAAGTTGTGTGGCGGAAATGACTAAATGGAACACTGAGCTTTCACTTAACCAAAAAAACAGAGAGAGGAGAAAAAAAAAAGAAAAAGGCAGCTGCTGTTTTCATGGTTTTGCTTTAAAGCATCTTTTTTCCTAAAAGTAAATATGTTATGGGCTGTCTCTCTTAAAGCAAATTGCTAGATTAAAAAAAAGCAAAAAAAACGCACACAGAAATCAAGCTTATGTGCCATCTGCTTAAGGTCCTTTATATTACCTTCTACAGTTGAAGAATGAGAGGTTATTTTTCAGCTTACTTTATTCATCAGAAATAATATGATTGTTTTCTGGAGTGAAAATCATAATTGTATGATTTAAGGCTTTATTTTGTACAAATATCACATGCCACTTTATTGCTGTTTTTATATATATTGTAAACAGAGGTGCTTTCATACTTACACCTCACATTTTTGTGTCCAGCTAAGACTGTTTTAAAGAGGTTTTGTTGAGTTTTGTTTTCTTTACTTGGCTGCATGTTTCTAAGTTGTGTTCCACGTTGCTTTTTCACCAGGGCAGCTGTCACAAGGCAATAGAGATGTTGATATGAGTAGAAGTTCTTCAGTTAATGTCTTTCAGGTTTTGGATTGTGCCTTAAATATCTGAATATATCTAGGAAAAGATTATAAAATTAAAGCTGCCTATCTTCTAACTCTTGGAAAACTCTGCTTTTTGTCGTTCGTGTAGATGACATCTTTGCCATTCTCAAAATGGAAATGTAGAAAGAAAAACACCTAAATTGATGAGGCATAGAGATAGGTTACTTAAAAGGGATGGCTTATTAATCAACAATGTGCAAAATTCTCTGCTTGCTGCACACATGATAAGTAAAGGCCAGATAGGTCTTTTTTTACCTAGAAGAAGTTGTGTTGCTGTTTGTCATAGAAGAACTCAGATGTTTTGAATGTATGTTTAAAACCATAAACAGATTTTGAAAAAATGGAACAGTATCATTATTTAGTGGGGAAAAATGCTTGTGTGAGATAAACAGGTAAATAGATAAGGACTTAAAACATTTATCTTCTTTTAAAGTATATGCTTTTTCTTTTTGAAACCTTTTGGTTCCCCTGTCTGTACTCCTTTGCATGTTTCAATGATGCTTTTGTCTTAAGGTATTTCTTTTTCCTCCTCCATTAAATGGGATAGATGTTGGAATGAATTTGAGGTTGCATTGTCACTACAGCAAGGCAGGTAAAGAGTGTAAACCTAGCAGAAAAATCCAGCAGGCTGTGCAACCTATCTACAAGATTTGACATGGATTTGCAACAAGGACTCTTACTTCAGTCAGTGACAGCAATGTGACCAAAGCCAGACCATGCCATGTCTGTTTTTGTCAGACAATCTAATTATCTCAAGAGGAAATTGCAGCTGAAAGTATCTTCAACTATTTGCACTCACAGGGAGGACTCAGTTCCTTTCCAGGGAAGGAAGGTATTTGTGAATTATGGGAGGTTTGTTAGCTGCATTTTGCTCTGGCACCCTGTCTGATCTTATTTTCTTACTGAGAATGCTGTACTTGAAATGCACTTTTGATTAAGTACGGCCACTGAAAGATGTAAAACATGAAGCTTTGAAATGATATCTAAAAGCAAATAACTTTTTATTGAAAAGCAAAAGAACACAGAATGAGAAGTACTTTCAGGATTGTACATCTCTTCTCAAGTTCTGGAAACACCAGGGAACTTTTTAAATGAACAAATTTGCAACTGTTCATAACAGCCATCCTGTTAGATTCAGCTGTCTTCAGTCTCTGCTGTGCTCAGCTGGCATCTGTATAAAGAAGATGTGATGTAGTTATTCTTGGTTACGAGGTCGGGATCAATTTTTATGGATAAGCACGATTTAAAACTTGATAACTGTTACTTCACAGAGAGGACAATTCTCTATTTGATTCATCAAAGCACAGAAGGAAGGTGCTAGAGCTCTGCAATTCTTGAACTGGGTGGTAGTCAGTGCAACCTAAATTTGAGCAGTACTTACTGTAGGAGTGTTGCAAATAGGCAGAGGTTGACTTGGGATTTCCATTTTAAATTTACTGTTACTCTTCACCAGGATTCTTTCTTAAATGATCATTGCAGGGACATAGGTTAATTCTTATCTGTTAACTGCCCCTTACAGAGGTTTGGACATAGGTTTAAATGTTAGTTTCTCGAGCAGTTATGGTGACTGTTTCTGTACAGCCAAGTGCAGGAAGAACTAAAACATACCTTGTACTGCTGTCTGCTTTCAGCTCACATCGTATCACTGAAGTGCACTACAAGATGTGAGTATATATACATACAGCAATAACAAAAAATGACAAAACTGACTTCATAACAGTAGCTGGGTGTTGCTCATGCCTTTCCACAAGAGGTTTACTCTCTGCCAGCAGTGTCTCTTGCCTTTTAAATGAACTATTGATGGGCATAGATTGAAGAGAACAGAGTGCTGTCTAGCATTTCTACTGCTGAGGAAACTACAGACATCATTGCAAAGGTTCACTGTCCTTGGATCACATATACATTGTCTTTTACTTGAGTCTGTTTTGCTGCACTGGTTCTTGTTTTACCTACTTTTACAGTGGTGAGGAAATGGAGCTTTTGACTTTGCAGCAGCCTTACTCAGATGGGCCATTTCAAACTGAATTGGACAATGCTAACATCCTCAGTTGATCAGCTTTTCTGTGTATCTCCTATATCTAGCTCCATGCCTGGTTTGTTCACTTATTTTGCTCCCCTCTCTTTAGTGATGGTTGTGACATTGTCCAGAACTGAACCCTGTATTTAAACTGATGCCTTCACTGCACTGAACTGAATGAATGAGTTATTTCTCATCTGATGTGGAAAGAAGATGGCATTTGGAATAGCACACGCAACCTTCTTGTTGGTTTAGCTTATATCCCACTAAATACTTACCATCAAAAATGTCTATCAGTGGGGTTCCTCCGGCGATGGGGAGGTCTGATGTTGTCTCACTGATGATATTGAGGAGTGATTTGACTTCTGATTCTAGATGCTCCACAGTTTTTATTACCTTCTAATGGAGAAAAAAAGGATAACAAATGTAGAGGGGGGCAGTCAAGTGGTCAGATGGAAGGAATTGTGTACCACATGTGTTAGTTCAAGAGGTCTTGCTATCCCATACTACTAACAGCTGATTTTGTTCTTCATTGCAATTTAATGTGTTTTTCATGTTACACTGGCCTCTAGTGGCACAAGTATTAGAAATTTGTTTGGCAAGGCTTAAAATACAGCATTTATAATACAACATTTTTTTTAGTCTAGAGGTTTAGTGTATTCCAGGAACCAGTGCTGCAGCTCTTACCTCTTCAATAATATCTAAGCGTTCGTGCATTGTATCGTGTTCATGGCACCAGCTTCCCAAACTTCCAGGTAACAGACTGGTAGGGTCTGCAGCAGCTGGAAAAAACAGCCACAGTTAAATTAACAGGAGCTTTCTGGTGGTAACGTTTACCTTTCTGACTTGTGAAATTGTATTTGGCGTGCTCAAGAGCATACTTTATTAAACAGAGCCTGTCTTGTCCTAGGTGGAAATAACTCAGTTACATACAGATAGACCCAACTGTTGTGAATGTTTCCTGGCAGCATACAGATTGTCGAAGTTGTTTGGAGCAAGCTGTTTTCTTCTGATTGTTTGCTATTTATTTACTGTATTTGTGTTTATTTCTCAAAGCCTTTTGTTTTCTCTCTATGTAGGGCAACCTTACTGTTTACTCTAGCTCAGATGTGTCTCTACAAGTATAAAACTTAAGTGTTGGAAAGATCTGCCTTAGGTATAATAGAATCTTATCATAGAATGGCCTGGGTTGAAAAGGAACACAATGACCATCTGGTTCCAACCCCCTGCTATGTGCAGGGTTGCCAACCAGCAGACCAGGCTGCCCAGAGCCACATCCAGCCTGGCCTTGAATGCCTGCAGGGATGGGGCATCCACAGCCTCCTTGGGCAACCTTTATCAGTTCATCTTATCAGTTCATCTTGGACTCTCATCAGAAGCAACTAGCATGGTAAAGCTTTGAAGAGCAGCTGAGTTTGTCTACTTAGACCCTGAATGGATGCAAGCTGGTAATTCCATTGTGCCAGTAATGTGTGTAACCATCTAATTTTGAAATGGGAAGAGAAATGGGGAAAATGTGTCCAGCTAGTGCCATTTGTTGGCCAAGTCACTCATGATGGTATTATATACAAAATCACTCATCTGTCAGTTACCTCTGTTTACCTCTCAGTACACGTGAGCTCTTTGGACATCTCATTCTGCTGGCTGTACTCCATATAAGAGCAGTATCTGCTGATGTCTGTGCTCGAGTGGAGCCAATTATTTTTCCATGACTTTTGCACAGTAACCTTTGGGTTTTAATACATATATGTAGAGCAGTAACTATTTAAAAACCTGCTACATCGATAGCATATCTGGTTTTCTTAATGTTAAGTCTTATTCTTATTTGAGACCTTCAGAGGCTGTAATATTGAGGAAGCAGCAGTAATTTACCACCATTTGATTGTGATGGAGAAAACCAGAGCACCATGTGAGCTTGTGTTATGTGTGCTTAAAGGCATAGGAGGAGCAACTATTACTGTTTCCAATAGTGTTGTGTGAGAGCAGTAATTGGAACCTGGTGCAGTGCTTTATATCAAATCTGTGCCATGGATTTAGGTGTTAACGTGGCATAAACGTGTTAGTAAGGATTGTAGCAGTTTGATGGTTTGAGATGTGCTGTGAGCTGGAATGGAATCCTTGAGGGCAGGGAGGAGGAGAGGAATAAAACGTGACCTAATGTACTAGATGTGCTGTTATTTAAAAATTGCTTTGGCACAGTTTTAGACTATGTTTGGATGCGTTTGATTTGTAGGCTTTGCTGGGTTGGGTTCTTGTGGTGGGATCCTACCACGAGGTGGTGCTGTGAGGACAGGATCCTACAGATTTACTCGGCCCGTTTAGTGCTTACCAAGACTTGAAATATGGCAGCTATGTAGAAGACAGCTGCTTCACGGTCGTTGTTGGTATTTGGGGAATGTTATTACTTTCTCATTTAGTAGTCAGGTTGAACCATACTCCAAAAAATTCGGCTTATTTACGTGGTTTTTTTCGATCATGTTGCCAGAGCAACGTGGAAATGCTGAATTGTTGTGTCAGAAATGGAGGCTACAAAGCAATGGCCAGTCTTTCTCTACAAACCTTTTCTGCTCCAACAATAGCAACGAGATAAGCTCTATCTTACTGTCAGATATTAATAGAATTTCCACTTTTCCAGTATTCCCAGCTCTCTGTCTGTGTCACGCCTGATTCAGCATCTGCTGAGCTGCTGCTCATCATGTCAGAGGGAAGGCCCTGAGTCACGAGGTGGAGTTGGAAGGCTGTGGGCCTCCCTTGGGTGACAGCCAGCACCTGTTGTAAGTGTTTGTTTGTGGAGTTTTGGCCAGCCATAGGCTGCATGCCAGGCTTGTTGAGTTTTGTGCATTTCCTAGAAATGGGAAATGCAGGAGAGCTAATGCTGGCTAGTTCAAGTCAGCGTTGGCCACTTGTCTTTCTCTGGTTGTGCATCTTGTATCACGCTGGTCCATAGAAGACTCTGAGTTTTGCCTTTGGAACAGCAGAAGTAACTGTTTGTCCTGTCTAAATCAGTCTGATCCAGAGGCTCTGACCTTCCCAACCTGTGTAATGCCACAGTGAACACATCTGCTGGTGCTCTGCAGAGGCTCTTTTCAACTTTTTCCTGACACAGGACCTTAAATTCTCTAAGGATCCCTTCAAACAAACACGATGTGATGAGGTCCTGCTCAGAATGCCACTTAAGTCATTACTTCATCTTATCTCTTCTGTGTTAAATATGTTTCTTCTCTGCACAAACTACATTATTTTGCACAGGCTGACTGCCACTGTGGGTGTGCACAGATAAGTAGGTGAGGCATAAGGATGACTGACTTAATACTGCCTTGTATATGTGTGCACAGCTAAAGGTAGAAGCTGAATTGCAGGTCTCAGTAGCATTCTGTTCTTTGGGATGGTTGGTGCTTTTTTTTGATGCAGAATGAGACAGCTTTCTTGCAGTGCGGATGCATTGCCAATTTATAGACTGCAGTGGGTTCATTGGAGGGGGAGGAAGTGTCTCATCCAGCCTTATAGACCTAGAGCCACAGGGCTGATGCTGTAACTAAAAAAGTTGACAAATGGTCCAGGCTTACGTGTCTCATAATCTGATACCTCTTGTTAGTGAGTGACAAGAGTTAGGAGAGAGTCTGTTTTAAAAGCACAATGGTTTTAGTTCCCAGGTTTCGTGGCCTGGGTTCTGTGACCCAGAAGAAATGCTGTCAGACAGGGCCTGTGCCTCTGTGCCTGGTTAGCAGCTTTCTCACCACAGCAGAAATGTTCTCCTGCTTGTGGTGCCCTTACCACCACACCAGAATGGGACACTGCAGGAAGGGACAATGGGTCAGGCACACAGTGCTCTGGTCACTGGAATTCCTTGCCTTCTGCTATTTGCAGAGCTTGGGCTTGAGGCTTTGGCTGCTGGAGACCTGGTTATTTTGATAGCCCACAGCCTTTGTCTCTGGGATGGACTGTTCACAGAACACGTCCAGTTCCTTGTGCATAAATATGACATATATCTGAGTCATTAGGCTGACCCATACTTTTATTATGGCAAGGATTAAACTCTTAACTTATTTACGCTGCCAATCATCTAGAAATTCTGACTTACTTTCTGTTTTGTACGTTTTGTCTTCCATGTCAGGCTGGTAGTACCATAAAAGCAGTGTGGTTCTACTGCCCTGTGCTGTGGTACTGTCAGAAACCAGTAGAAGGAGCAGAGAAACAGAATTGGAGTGAGATTTAAGGATGCCAGCAGACAAAAGAAGTGCTTCTGTGTGAGAAGTTTAAGCAGGACCCTCTCATAAACGAGAAGCTTGCTGTTGGGTTTAAGGATGTACAGTGGTTGTGACATTGCCTTTTCTACATGTGAACTTCTTCACATGATCTTGACATGCCAGTATCTGAATTATATATATATATACATACATCTGCTCTCACACTAAGTATAAAAGTGAATATAAAATTGCTCGATAGCTTTTAAAAAGTATATTAATCAATATAGATATATACCTAGTGTGTGCTCACATATAATATGTAGGCATAAGTAAATGTGCACCTCATAGTGAAGTTGGTGTCAGAAGTCAGAGGGTAATGTTAACTTGCACTTTACCAATAAAAGTTCTACAACATAGCATTTCTGGTCCCAGACCATTAGTTGTACATGTCAGCAAACTCTCTTGTCCACATACCTGTGTCACAAAGGCATCTGATAGGAGAAAAAAGTGTTTTCAATTAAAGCATCACAGAATTGCAAGCTGGAACACACAAATTCAGTTAAAACACGTTTTTAAGGCAATGAATTGAAAGTACCATCTGCATTGCTTGTATTCTTTATAAGGATAATTCTCAAAGATACGAGTCAAACCGAAGTTACAGACTAGCTGTAGAAAATACTGGGTTGGGTTCTTTGGGCTGTGTTACAAAGAAGGTTGAGCTAAGTGACCATAACGTTTAAAACGCTGGTTTTGAATTGATAAAAAAGACCTTTTTGTGCATCGTTCTGTAACCATTGTGGTTTTGAGAATTGACTGAGAGTTCATGTTGTGCTCAGCAGGGATGGTGAGGTAAAGCAAAGCAGACCACGGGCTGAATGAAAGACAAGTGAGACCGAAAAGGAACCAGATGGCTCATAAAGCCTGAAATCATGTGATGAAAGTGAATAAAAAGGAACGTTTTTAGCTATTGAAGGAGACATGCTCCTGTTTATATTACTTTAGGTTTAGCAGTACCATTTTATTCCTGTGGTATATAGCAAGAAGTGATGTGATAGCTCCTACTGAGAAAACAAAACTGGTAGTAATGGATTTGTGTTGCAACAGGAAAAAAAAAAAACAAACATCATCACTTGAGTCCATTTGGTGACCCCTTCACAGCTCATCTGAGAAGAGCATGATGGATGTCCAAAGGCTTTTGCCAATCGCTGCTTAAATTGCTTATTATCTAAATATACTGTTGGACTTAATGTTAAAGCACAAACGTAAGTTCGAAGTGTTAGCTCAAGAAATTGCACAGTTTGCAAGTTAAATTCAGCTGCTTTTGCAAGTGAGTACAGAAAAGTCTATCAGTATTATCAGTAATAGCAATATTAATGCTTTCAGAACTAGGTCAATCTTAAGCCGAGATTGCTAGTCATGTTTGGTTTGGTGGGGCTGTTCTTGAAAACATCAACCTTAGTTGCCAGTTATGTCAACCCTCCAATCTCCTTTGGATTTATGCACACCTGAGTTTTGTATATGTTTATATAAAGGAAGAAAGATGAGAATAAAATGTTCCTCTCTTGGTTTGAAATGTATTTCCAACATGCTGATCTTGAGCAAGCAGCCAGGGAACCTTGTCTCTTGCTTGCTTTTGCAATGGCAAATGGCTGTGAGAAATCAGAGGGAAAAGTAAGATGGGCTATGTAGCTTGCAGGTAAGTTGCTCTTATTCATTCTGCAAGTTAGGAGAGGATATTCTGATGTTTTGGGCTCCAAACTCATGTTTCCCTTTGTGACATATTTATGTCTAGATGTATATGTATTAGGTTTTGAAACGAAAGCAAAGTCTTAGGATAATTACAGCTAGTAGCTATAAAAGAGATACTTGTGTATGCAGAAGAAAATGAGCCATTTCAGGAAGAGGAGGAAGCATGTTGTGGCATATCTAAAGAATGTAAGTTATGTAGAATGGGTGAGCTTAATCTGGCTTTGAGAATGGAGGAGGTCAGAGAGGTGAGTATTTGATGTCGCCCATAAATTTGGAGATGACCACTGGTATCTGGGGATAAGGAGTTGTGAGGATGTGGCTTTTGGGCTGTGTTTAACTGCAATCATGGGGAGCAGGGTGTGAGGTGGGTCTGTGACTTATTAGTCAACTCTGTGGCTGTGTAGCTTGCATGTGAGTAAGTTTTGGCTGTAGAAAGAAATATAATAGTACAGGAAAGACAATCTTTTCAGTATTTTCCTAATAGTGAAAAAATTCTAGGAACTTGACTGAAGATGTGTTTTCCTCTGACAGGCATTTTGTGTGTACTGCAACCACTCAGGAAGTGATGTATGATATATACACACACACACACACTACATCCCATGTATTCATGGAGTGACCCACAACTGCCTCACTCAGAACAGATCAGATGAATTTAGAAGTACAGCTTATGCAAGGGAACAGCAGAGTCCTGTATTTCCAGACCCCTGACTTTCCTGCAGTTTGAGAATAGCCTTTGCTTTACCCACAGAGGTTACAAACTCCAGATAAGTCAATAATAGAACATAGGGGTTTTACAAATGGGTTAAATGTGTTAGGGCTTGCTCCTAAGCAGAATCCCTATTTCAGGTGTCTTGTGTTCATAAGAAACACCCTTACAAACTTCCATTCTTCTTTGTTGAAGTTCAAAGATGAGTGTTTGCAAAGACTTCTCTTGAACTGGGGACAGTAATGACTGTAGGCTTCTGTAAGAGAAGGAAATACCTATTATGTGGGGTGTAGTTGAAACTACTGTTGGCTTATTAGTAGAAAATCATGACTCAGGCTGGTTTCAGATAGTACCTCTCATGAGTTTTACAGTGGATTTAATTAAACCATTTTCAAGTTCAATCTTCTGGGAGCAAAATACTGCTTTATGAGAATGCAAGCAGTTGATTTCATGCAAAAATAGGCAGTTCTGAAGGTTTGGTTGTGTTCTATTTTTCCCTCTTCAGTTTCTAAACAGTACCCTGCCTCTGATTGCTGAATATCACCTTTATAGTTACCCATTCACTCCAAGACCTCATGAGTCTACCCTGCCTTAGGTGTAGCATGTGGGTATCAGAAGATCCTAAGTATTCTGAAAAGTCATTCTGTGTTAGCTTTGAGGGGAAAAAAGCACTCCTTTAAGCATGATTTGCCTTTTCTTGCATTTAAAACCAGATGAACCACAACGTGCAGTATTGAGCAGCAGTGGTTCCACTCAGGCTCTCCTGTTGCTCTGTTCTCAGTAGCATGCTCAGTATTTGGATATGCTCATCTAACTGGAGCACATCACGGGGCCCAGCCTGCTTACCCAATTGCCTGATAATTGTTTACCTGAGGATTCCAGGTCATAAACACATAGGAGACATTGTGCTGTTGGGGTGTCGCACCCTCAGAACAATTTGCCCAGAGCTTTTTGTAGGAATGGCATTGCATTTAAATGGGGCAGGTACTGAATTGGCCCAGTGCACGTGGCTATATTGAATGCTGTTTTAGCAGCAGCACCATCTCACAAACTAACCCAGCAGTAGCAGCAAGGAATGAAAAGCTGCAGACATCAGGTGGGAGCCTGTAATGAATCCAACTGGATGCCCACATCAACCTCTCACCTTGAGCTGCTTGAAAGCTGATCCCGTGAATGTGAAATTGTTCCTGTTAATGGCTGAATAAAAACATAAGCTCTACTCTGTCCAACCCCAAACCATTTTTAAGAGGAACTGTTGCTAAACAAAACAGGAAAAAACAATGGATGAATCACGGGGGTGGAGTGGTCAGGGGAAGGATCTGTAAGAAAATGAGGAGTTGTGTTCCTCATCTCAAAGGTAGAAAAGGGAGAGTAGGAATGACTTTTCCAAAGTCCTTCAGCCAGCCAAGATATGCACCTGGCTGTGATAGGCACAAACTCAAACCCTTCCTCAGCTTGACTTGAAGAAATGAGCCAGTATGGACCAGGAATTCTCTCTTTACAAAAAAATATTTCTTGCTGCCTCCCTGTGGCAAGAGCTGTTCTGAGACTGAGGCTCTTTGTTTCCTTAATCTTTTTCTTATAGATGATATACTTAGAGAGTGAATAAACAAAAACAGTTTTCCTGCAGTACTCGTGGGGTGAAAAGTAGTCAGAGTGCCCTTGCTACAACTGATAATTCATCACAGATAAACATTGTAAAGCCAGTTGTGTGGGAGGGAGATGGCAAGAAAGAGTGTGTGGGATTTGGGGGCAGAGGGGACAAAACCGTTTTTTGGAAAATGTTTTGAATGTAATGGAAACTCACTGCCCTGCCACGAAATACAAACACTGTGTGTTGTCAAGCAGTTGGAGCAGAGGGAGAGTGATGCTGGGCCTCAGCTAGCAGAAAACACATAATGCAAACAGGCTGTGAAGCCAGGTTTGTGGTAGCACGGGGACTATAAATCCTGGGGCTAGCTGAACAGAATAGCTTTCAGTCATACCATCAGCTGAAATGCTATTACAAGTTTGGTTAGCACCAGCCCTGCTCTTAGTAAGACTTAGATGCCAGTTTATCAGCTGTTGTGTGTTTGTTTCTTCCTCCCAAGGTATTTGAAGAAGGAACTGTGAGCCTCAAGAATCTCAAAAAGTAATGCAAAGCAGAAGAGACAAAAATGCAGTATTGTTAACAGCACATCTAAAAAGGAGGTTTTGAGTACAGGAAAATCTGTCTCTGTTCACCTTGAACGAGGAGGATTCACGTATGTGTTGTTACTGTTCCAGTGCAGTAATGATGGAGTTGCAGGGAGCTGGGTGCAGCCCATGTCAGCTTCTGAAAAGACACTGATTGTGTATATCCTTGCTCCCCTGAGATCTCTAAGAAAGCCATGTGCCTCTAGGACAGATTCAATAGCACAGAAGTAGAGATTCTCCTCTGCAGCAGACACACACCTGTGATGCCTTCATATGAAACCCATAAAGAAGCAATTCTTTATCTCCCCCACCTGCCCCCATGCAAAGACTTAAACCGTGCTGCAGTTTCTGCTTTTCATGCTTGGAGTCACTCACCAAAGAGCTCCTGTTCCTGCAGGACTCCAGCAAACACCAGCACCCAGATGAACAGCATGGTCCCACGCTCTGCTCTAGTCCTGGTGCAGAGCACAGCAAGCTCCCTCCCAGGCTGTGCATAGACTGCTCCGTCTGTCTGTCCAGCAGTTCGTGCTGAGGTTTAGCCAGAGCTAGGAGGAAATATGCCCAGGCTGAGCCAAGATTCTGAAGCTGTGCTTTTTTTTTTTTTTTTTCTCTTTCCTCCCTTTAAAAAACACCCTTCCAGCTCCACAAAAAGTCCAGTTATCCAGGCAGGCTGGCAGAGCTCCAAGCTCCCCAAAGTTTTTTTTTTTTTACCCTGTATTTATTTATGCAGCCTACAACTGGAATGTGCTGGAAAACTCTGAATTCTTTAAGTACAGCAAGGGGGGCAAGAAAAGGAGGAGAAAAGAGAGGGGTGCGGGATGTTTCTTTCCCTGTAGGATTATGTCTAGGGTGTGGAAAGCAAAGGACGGTGGAAAAGATGGTATCATTAGACTTGTGCAAAAACAGGGTTCTCATGTTATCTGTTTTTAAGACTGCAGAAAAATGTCTTTTGGGAGGGCAGAAGTTCTGCTGGACTGAGTGCAGCAGCCTTGTGTTGGTGATGCCTTGCCTTTGGAAAGCAAAAAAGGCTCCTCGGAGCTCTTCCCAGTTTGGAAGGTGTTTGAAATAAGTTAGATGTGATAACACCATGCGTAAAAATAGCTCTGTCAATGGCATTCTGACTGCGTGCTTGATTTCCAGCAGGTCTGAGTTAAATGTTTATCTTCAGAGCTTATGGGTGTCGATTGGATAAGTGTCTGTGTAGAACACGAGGAGCTAAGTCTCCAGCCCTGAGTCTGCTGCAGGTTCCTGGCACAACCTTGGTCACGTCCCTCCCAGCTTGCAGGTCTTTTGTTTCCTACCTTTGAAGGAAAATTAATAATCCTTCTAACCCAACTTAAGAAATAACAACAACAACAACAAATGTTTGCCAAGCATTTTGTGTTGCCTGTGTAAAAAAATACAACAAAAACTCACACAAATTCTTACGTTTTTATCAAGGAGTAGTTATTACAGAGCAAGTTAGGAATGCATTGCAAAGCTCTTGTACAACTAAGGCTGCACATGCTGCTGTACAAAGGCTATGACTGCTGAAATCAGAGGTTGTCTGTGCTGAGGCTACAGGGGAAGTGGAAGCAAAGTCAACAGACTGAGGATGTGCAAATGCTGTGCCGGTGAGTTCTTTACCACCAGGATGTTGACCTGCAGGAATGAGAGCCCTGTACTACTTTGGAGGGAGAAGCCTCGGGAGCAGGATAAGGCTTAGGAATAGTTGGTTTCTTTTTTCTGAGTATGTTTGCCTGGACCTTTGTCCTTCCACTAAGTGCCTTTCTCAAGCAGAATCTCCCTCGTGTTCTCTTTCTAAGGGAGCCAGTTGGTGGATGCTTTTCTGCTGTACTTTACAATATAGTACTAAAAGGCAATGAACATTCACTGAATTGCTTTTTTTCTCTACACCAGAAAAGCTATAAAAATATATTAAAAGTGCTGTTGTGGACCACCACTGGGGAGGTCGCTCAGCCTCTTACTGCACATTTCCTGGAGATTCTGAATGACTTCATCTCAGGTTCATGAAACAGCTACGTTCTTTCAAGGCAGTTCCTTCTTATTTGCAAAATTATGTTTCACTACAGTGAGATCTGATACCCACAGAGAAGTAAACAAAACAGTGAGGATTTTCTCTAGTATGGTACTCCGGAGGTTGTTTCTATAGGGAGAGAAGTTCATTTGGCATGAGGGAAACACAGCCAAAAGAAATACCTATGGCAATTAAGATTTTGGTTTTCAGTAGGGCTACCTGTCTAAAGCATTTTGGTGATCTTGGATAATTGCCTAAGTTGATTACTGTTGCTGGTAAGCACTCAGAATGAAGTTGGAGATGAACAACTCTTAATCAGCACTGTGAATTAGGAAATATTCGAGGTGCGTGTCAGAAATCACTAAACTGCAAAGCAGATTGTTCAGTGCAAGGCAGAAGATCTGGGTGTAGTGGAGAGTATGTGATATGTATAAACCTATTTGTCTTCTGGAAAGTTAGTCAGTCACTGATTACCATCAGAGAAAGCATTCTTCAGCATATTCATCTTGGAAATGTCCATATATGAGAATATAATGAGATCATATGAATATAGGTTTGCACAAAATCCAGCTGTTGAGATGTTCCCAAGACACCAGCAGCCAAAGAAAGCATACCAGTGAACAGGGATGGGAATTTCTGCCAGCAGGCAATCTGGCAAAAGGGAGAGCAAACACAAGGTTTGAGTCTATTTTGGGAACGTTGGGGTTTTTTTGTGTTGTTTTTCTTTTTTTGTTTTCTTACAGCCTTTCTGCATCTCTTTTTTGGATGAACCAAAGGCTTGGCAAAAGCGAGATAGTAGATCATAGCGATAAAACTGAGTGCATAGAGAGGAGAAACAGAATAAACAAAGGCCATGTGTCAGCAGAGGACGTGTGTGCCATGAGAAGGAAGATAATATCATTCTTGGGCATGAAATCCTGCAGCATGGGCTGGTGGAGGAGTATGGCTGAGCGTAAACTTGGCAAAGGTTGAACTGCAGTCCCTCATGACTGTAAGTGAAACAGAGAGAGAATTAAATGGAGATTGTTTCTAGGAACAAAAATACAGTCTAAGACCCATTCATGTAGGGAAAAGAAAGTGCCTTACATGCAGAGAGGAAAACGGAAGAGAATGATCTCTATCCTGGATTTAGCACAGAGGGACAATGAAATCGAGGTGAGGGTACTGTGGATGTTCCCTTGGGAGAAGATGCTTACCCACCAGAGTCTGTGGAGATTTCTCATATGTTTATTTATTAGCAGCCAGCTACTTGTGACCTGAAGTTTTCACCACTTGTAGGCTGCTGAATCCCTATTGTAAAATGAGGCTTGGTTCATGATTATGCTCGAAGAGGTGAATTATTTTCACCCTCTTAATTAACTCAGTTCTTGACTGCTGAGTTGAAGCAGTAATTGAATGTGTGCGGAAGCAGAGCTCATTGCCTGGAGAGACTGATTTCCAAAGAACAGATACGCAGCTTGTCAGCTGCTTCCAGGGGAATTAGCTTTGCAATGAGTGCATCATTTGGTGAGCAAATGGAAGGTATCCTGGAGTGGTGATGTCAGCAGAATGAAGCAGTCGTTGCCACTTACAGCTTTCAATTGTGGTAACCCAGCACCACATCCCCAGCAGAATGCCCTCAGCCTCCTCATCTCTGTTGCTCTGGGAGCAGTCTCCATTGGTGCTGCAGGTCTTGTGGGCTGTTGCCTTCTCTCCCAGCGCAGTCCCCTCTTCAATCTGTTAGATAACAACTTGAATTAGTGGTTACTACCTTCAAGGAACGTCAAAGAGTGCAGTGTTCTCTTGTCATTGTCATAAAGGCACAGTCTTAGGTTTCATTAAAAAAAATAAAAAAGCAAACCCATGCAGTATTACGAGGTGCTGATGAGATCAGTTGTACCCTGCTTGGAGAAGGTTAACAAACGTGTGTCATGGAATAGAGCACTCTGCTCCAGCCTTCTCCAAAACAATACATTTTGTACCGTGCCTAAGGCCAGCAGTGAGTCAGCTTCTCTCTGGAGGCAATTCCCTTGTGTCATCTTGGTGCCAGCACGCTAAGCTGGGTTCTATTTGCCAGCATTAGGTAAGCAACCGATGGGTTCAGGCTGTCATGCATCTGTGACTTCAGCTTCCTGAGCAATCGTCTGCAAGAAATCTGAATCACAAGACTGAAGGTGGGTTGCATGAGGTGTTGGTAGTGGTGCCTTACTGGTAGTTTTGTGTTGTTAACCAGCTGTTAGATCCTTTCATTTCCCAGATCTCACGGATGTTAATGAGCCCAATTGTGCTGCAGGAGCACCTATGGAACAAGCTGTGTGACATGCCTGCTCTTTCTAAAGAAAATACAGCTTAATCCTGAGCAAGCTGATTTAACTTTATTCTTGGGTAAACTAGCGAATGTGAAATGGACCCCTGACTCCTAACTATGTTGCACGTATGGGGCTCTGGTGATGCATACTGCTTTTTTATTATTTATTACCGCATCCTTTTGCTGTTGCAACTTTACATCCACCCATCTGAGTCACATTAAAAAATGTGAAATAATTCGGGAGTCCACAGCAAATAACACTCTAGATAATAACACTTGATTGTTTTCAAATTGGGATGACTCAGCTGGTGACTTTAGCAGGCCAGTGTTGCACACCACACTAAGTAAAGGAAATAATGGCTTGAAACTGGACCAACGTTTTCACTCTGTGAAGGAGTCATTAATATCTGAGAAGCTATTCATCTGCTGACTGGCATCTTGCTGAGCACGGCTCATGAGAAAAGGCAGTGAAACAGAGGTCTGTGTTACTTAATGTCTGCGTACCTTTCTCCATTAGAGAACTCATCAGCCGTGCATATGAAGCCCTTGAATACAGGCAGTATTTACCATATGAGCTAGCTGTGAGGCACAGATGTTTAATGAAACAGAAACAGCTGGGAATAAATCCGTTTCAGATCAATAGTCAGCCTGTTCCCATTTTTGCCTTAATTACTGCGAGATCGTGGATAGATTCTAAAGAAACTATGATCTGCCAGAGAAGCCAAGCCAATCTCTTTACTGTCACTCCCCTGGAGATTTATAGTACATGTATTACTTTGCAGCTGATGTAGTTAAAATCCCAGGTTAAGGCTCCTTTTGAAATGAATGTGGGTTAGGAAATAAGATACTGTAGCAGGATGTTAGTAGACCTTGTCCCATCTTTAACTGCAATTCTTCCTCAGGCATGCTTCCGACACTTTGTCCAAGGCAGAGAATGAGTAAGAATATGGAATCATTTTTTTTTTTTTCTGTCCTGCTGTGTGGTGGATTCTGTTCAGCAAGAATTTGTACAGTGAGCTGTTACTGCATGGGGCCAGCATCTTGCCTCTTTAATTCCAGCTGCTAAACATCGTTAGGAGACAATGTGAATACTTACATAATGTTGCTATTTAACAAGAGAATTTGTTGTAGTTGCTAGAGGGAGATTTTGTAATCATGAACAGGAAGAGAAGTGCCCAGAAAACAATTTCTATTAAATGCTCATCCAGGGCATGAAAAACCTTGTGAGACTATGGACAAATAGATTAACAAGATTAGCATTCACCGCAAGC